GAAATTACTACTAAAACTAGATGATATTGTCTTAGTACCTTATGCTTGCTTTATTGAAAGATTTATAACGATTATGCGTATTCAATGATTGCTAAAGATTTATTTTTCAGCTCTTTTTTATGCAGAGTAATAGGAACTTTCATTTTAGTCTCAAAATTTCGCTTATATTTTAAGAAGTCAGCCTCACTCATACTCTCGCGCTCTTTTTTCTAGTAATTCTGGTTATCCCACATTTCAAAAGCAATCTTGGTTCACCATTGTTCCAATTTTTCTTTCAACATTTGGAATTTTTGCTGTAAAAGAAGGGTAAGAGTATTTATATCAGATTCGTTTTTGATGAGATATTCTGAAGATAAAGAAATTAAGGATTCAGGTAACTCTTTCTTGGCTTCAACAATGTTTGAAAATTGTTCAGAATTATTCGATTGATTTTGAGTTGATACTATAGAAGGCAATTGTGGCAAATTTGTTATGGATTTCTCAACTATATTAGTGCAAGAACTCTCTTCACAAATCTCATTACTAGATGATGTGGAATATCGAAACTTTGCATCTTCTGAAACAACAATATCAGTAGTAATAGCAGAGCTAGTGTCAAGATACATGGGTATTGAATCAAAAAATTCTTGAATTTTATCAACTGATTCAGATTTATATAGTGGAAGAACTGGATCTGTAAGGCGATAATTAGAATTATTCAACTTTATAGCCATTATTCTTTCTTGAGTCATAAAATCAACTTCATTATCTGATACACGATGAATCCAATAAGTACTTTTCCATACTTGTTGACCTTTTGGTCCTACTTTTTTTCATCTACCTTTGACAGTATAATCACACCAATTACCTAGTATTGCATTAATGAATTTTATTGTAGCATTGAGATCAGGCATTCCTTTAGCTCTGGTCTTAAAACCAAAGAGCAATAATGCATCTTCTCGAATTTTAACAATTTTTTCCTGTGATTGTTTGAAAGTTTTTGCCACATCATCACCAGAAAGAATATTCATATCATCTATATTACTAAATTCTACCAATTGTAAAAGATCGTGCACTGCTCTCCATTGTTTTGCCGAATAAAATTTATGCAAATCAACTGAAGACGGATCCACAGATTCGTGTGAATCTTCCTATTGCATTTCTTCTTTAACTTCCAGATTTTTAATAGCTTTTGTTGCATTGGAATCTTGTCTTCTAAAATATGCCAGCCTTCTAAAATATTGTAAAGGTTCAGGATTATTATATCTTTCCACGAATTTTTTATCGCAAAGTTTGATCCAATCATCATTATTCATATCCCAGTTTCGAATATCATCCTTACCTCCAATATCGTCTGAAGCATATGTTTTCCATAAATAATGTCATTGCAGAGTCATGTTATCAGTAAAAGAGCGTATAGGATTTTGCTTAAGAATTTCAGCTTCATTGGGACTAATATCTGGAGCATTAGCTATTGATTCTGCATCTGCACCTTTAATTTTTTTCTCAGTATTTTTAATAGTATAAGAAATTTTATTCCTGTTGACTTTTTCAGTATCTTCCACTAAAATTAATTCAAGTGTTGCTCCAGTACTAGCAATAAGACTGCAAAGAATCTCAGGAAAATATTTGGCTGATAAGCGTCTCTGATATTCAACTTCAATATAAGTTTCCACTGCTGGAGATAAATTAAGTGCATAACAATCAGTAATTTTATCCCATGCACGCTGGCCTTTTATTATTGTTGGTAAGTCTCCAGGTCTTAATGCTGAAAGTTCAGCCCGAATGAGTTCCCGACATGGTTCTTTGAAAATATCAAATTTTTTGCTATGATAAAGGGAAACCATACGTAATGGACAGTCACGGATTCTGAACAACATCTGAGCAAATGCCTCAACATGGACAGGAGTAGCGATATTAGTAATTCCTATAACTGCGTCAAAATAACCAGATATTTCAAAGGAGATGCCAGCTTCCACGGTACTTGTATAAATTATACAGTCAAGAGCACTCCAGGTGGCATCAATATTAGCAAAATCATCTTGGCATTGTTTCCCATCCATTTGACCAAAATAAACCCGAGATAAAATAAATGAACCATCAGGTTTTTGCAACTTAGATGTTTGATCAGCCAAGGCTCGGGCTTTTTTACAGCTAGTCATAACAAATGTAATATGCTTACCTTCTTGAAGCATCCTAAACCCTCTACGTATACCTTCTGAATCTTTATCCGGATCATAAAGAAATTTAACAATCTCCCCTTTACGTGGTTGATATTTGTTGTCAATAACCTGAATATTCTCACCTCGATAGGATTTTAAGAAAGCTAAAGTTGAGTCATTTGCAAAAGCATCCATAGCAACAACATGAGTGGCTACATTTAACAAATCGCGCATGGCATTAGCAGATTCTTGAGCATGAACTCCACTAGCCATTTGACGCATAGTGGCATTTGCTTCATCTAAAATTGCTATACAAGAATGGCCCCCTTGAAAATCAAGACGAAGAATACTTTCAACTTGTACAATAATAAAATCCCACTCACATGTCTTTAGGTCAGCCACAATATTCTGATATTGCTCTACTTTGAAATCGAATTTTTCCAATTCTTTAAGTTTAGCTTCGGATTCATTACTAAGAGTTTTGCGATATGAAATCCAGATAGTACAAGATAAGTTAGCACCACTTTGAGCTAAAGATACCAAAATTTTTCTTAATGTTTTAATTTTACCAGTATCTACAATAGAACGAATAAGAGTAGTACTAGGCTCTTTACTTAAAAAGTCTGGAAAAGCATCTAGGGCATCCTCCATTTCTTTTACATTAATATTTTTCCCATGTAATTCGGGACATTGATGTGAAGTTGATAAAGCCTTGGGTAATCTTTCACATAATTTCTACTTTTTGGACTTTTCTTTCAATTCTACTTTATCTGATACCTTGTCAAAGCTTAATCTCTTATGATCCAGCTTATATTGTTTTTGGCGATAACATTTAAATACGAAATACCCATTTTTTCGAATAAATCTATAGAGTTGATCCTTATTATGTTTAACGTCACATATAGGACATTCTTTAACAGATTGTGCTTGAAAATTAATAAAACCATTTCCAATTTTTCCAATCTGAAGCCACCCATATTCTTCAATAACTAGATTAGCTCCTCTATTCAAAGCATTTTCATCATTAATAGGCTGAGATTCTTGTTTTACTGGCTCTTCAGAAGAAAAGATTCGTGGCCAAATCACAGAATAATTCTCTTTAGGCTGAACCAGATAATCCTCTAGCTTTTGAAATCCATTTTTTACAGAAGAGATAGCAGGTCTTTTTATACGTCTCTCTTTCGCTGATCCAAGGAGTCGAAGATTAAAATGTGTTTTGGGAAGGCCATTATCAATAAATTTCGAATAAGATTCCCCAACTAATTCCATAACTTTCTCTGTGAATCCCTTAAGTTCTCTATAATCTATGAATTGAACACGAGGATAAATAATATGCCAACTGCATTTCTCAGCATTTGATGAACTTGCTAAAGCAAAAGAATTTAAGAAAGGCGTGTAATCTGGAATAAGGCTTAATACATCTGTACAAGCAACTAAAATTCGAGATAACAAATCTTCACGAGTAATTTTTTCACTATCTAAAGCAGGATGATTAAGATTATCTGGATTAGGCTTTTGCCTTGTATCAATGTCAATTATTAAGCGAAGAGGCTGGTTACTATCAATACATTCATGAGTATTAGGTATTCTATAAACTTCTGTAGGATGATCGATCACTGTATACTCTTTTCCTACCATCCAAATTATATATTGAGAATAAATATCTTCAGGTCGATACGCATCTAAAAGTGCAGTATCATTTTTATCAGTATGACCATTAGATGCAAGCCAGTATTTATAAAATGTATGTTCTTTATGGCCAAGTTTATAATCAAGATTTGTTAAACCCATAAAAAGTCATTTTGCTTCATTATATTCGGCTGACTTTTGATTTAAGCACTGTTGCTGTAACGATTTATGAAGACGGTTTTTTGCTTTACTAGACAAACTCATTTTATTGATTTGTATATATGTTGTTTGTATATGTGCGTTGTTTGATCTGACAAAAAGTATATAATGTGTTGATTTATCAACTTATAATAAAAGTGACATAAAAAGTTTAATTCGAAAAAAATTATTTCATATAAGCAAAATTTGAAAGTTATTGTTATTAGTGATGGCATTCTATTCTTGCCCACATATTTATATT